TCTTTTACCTTTTTTTTCAAAATGAAGTCAAGGATTTTTGCAGAAAGCCTGGCTTCAAGTCACCATGGGGCGCCCAGGCACAATTTGGTCTCATTACAGGCATTGGCATTCATGAGGTCATTTGATGCAGACACTGGCATATGGTTTTTTTCAACTCAAAAAAACATTGAAAAACTGGACAATAATTGATTGCAGCATCTAGGGCTATAAAAATTAAAGTGTAGAAACTCCTTAATTTTGTCTGAATAAGATTTATCTAGCATACAGTTTGACCTTCATCTTGTGGCCCTGAGATATAGAGTCCTAGTTTTTTACTTTGTTTCAGATGATAAGCACATCATTCTGGTTGTGCTTTATATAGAGCTAGGAAAATTCCCATGAGATGTTTTTATCCCATTGGTGCGCAAACTTCTTTCATATCACTGAAAGCTTGCGTGTTAGTTTAATCATGTGGCAGTGTCAAGATGATGTAACTTTTTATGTAGCATTCACTGGTGCAGGAAATGAACTCCAATTTGTCAATAATTTACAACAGTGGTTTTTGCCATCCAATAATTTTAGCTGCGCCATCAAAGAACTGCCTAACTTTTCAACCAATCTCCTGCATTTTAATAGTTTCCCTTGACTAGTGAAAACATATCACATTAAGCTTGTTTGTTGAAAAGTAGTGCATGGGGCATACATGGCTGCTTAAGACCAAAAAATCATTATGAATAGGGCATTGGTTGCAATATTATCAGGCTTTAAACAGCACATTATCAACATTCGCCACAATTTTTTTTTTGTTGAGGCCCCATATTGGTTTCCTCTCTTAATGCTCACTTTCATATCATGATTACCACCAGCTCCTTGACGCTCTTAAGCTTTTTCCATAAGCTTATTTTGCAGAAAGCCGGCTCACAGTCACCATGGGCACCCAGTGCCCAAATTTGGTCTCTTACCAGGCATTGGCATTCATGAGGTCATTGATGCAGACCTGGCATATGTTTCAATAAAATAAACATTGAAAAATGAGACAATAATGTATTGCAGCTTCTAGCTAAATAAAAATAAAGTGATAGAAACTCTTAATTTTGTCTGAATAAGATATCTAGCATAACAGCTTTGCCTTCATTTGTGGGCCACTGCCACTTGACATGCCTAGTTTTTTTAACCTTTGTTTCCAAGAATAAGCACATTGGTTCTGTTGTGTTTTATGTATAGAGTAGGACAAATTCCCATGAGATTTTTATCCCCAATCTTGGTGGCGCAAAGTATACTTTCATTATCAGTGAGGCATTGCGTGGTTAGAGTTTACTCATTTGTTATATGTCAAAGATGATGTAAACTTTTTCAATAGCATTCATGGATGAGGAATGAACCATCTATTTTTCATATTACAACAGGTTTCTTTGCATCCCAATATTTTTACGCTGCACCATCAAGACAACTGCCTGAAGCTTTTGAACGCCAAATCTCATCTAGCATTTAATAGTATTCCCTTGATTAAGTTGACAAAAAATATCACAATTAAGCTTGTTTTGTTACAACGTATCAATGGGGCATACCATGGCTGCTTAGACCAGAAATCATTATGAATAGGGCATTGGTAATCGACATATTACAGGTTTAAAAAGCATTATCAACATTGCCCAGATTGTTTTGTATATATATAGATATAGAGATAGTTGTTTCTCTCTTAGTGCTCATTTCATCAATGATTACCAAACAGTCTCCTTGACACTCTTTAAAACTTTTTCTCATTGAAGCCAACTTTTGCAGAAGCTGGCTCACAGTCAACATGGGCAGCCAGGCAGAATTTGGTCTCTTACAAGGCATTGGCATTCATGAAGGTCATTGATGGCAGACCTGGCATATGTTTAAACTCAAATACATTGGAAAAACTGAGACAATAATTGATTTTTGAAGCTCACCAGGGCTATAAAAATTCAAAGTGATAGCAAACTCCATTAATTTTTGTCTGTAATATAATTATTTAGCATACATTTGACCTTCATCTTGTGGCCCCTCCACTTGAATGCTAAGTTTTTTACTTTGTTTCAAGATGAAGCCACATCATTCTGTTTGTTTTTATATAGAGGCTAGGAAAATTCCATTGAGATTTTTTATGCCCCATTCGGATGCGCAATAATACTTTCATTTCACTGAAGCATTGCGTGTTTAGTTTAATCATGTGGCAGATGTCAAAGAGGGTCAAGGAGACTGTGTGGTAATCATTGATGAAATGAGCATAAGAGAGGAAACCAAATGGGACCCAACAAAACAAAAATTTGTGGGCAATGTTGATAATGGCTGTTTAAAGCCTGATAATATTGCAACCAATGCCCTATTCATAATGATTTCTGGTCTTAAGCAGCCATGGTATGCCCCCATTGCATACTTTTTAACAAACAAGCTTAATTGTGATATGTTTTGTCAACTTATCAAGGAAACTATTAAAATGCTCAGGGTTGGCAACTGGCCTACTGGGAGGCCAGATTCCAGAAATCTGGCCTAATTGGAAAGACTTTTGGCCTCCACCTATATTTTGGCTATAAATTGGCCTATTGTCATTTGATTACACAATTTCTGTGTTTTTTCGGTTTTACTAATTTTATCTGTATAAAGTGCTTAAGAATTATGATTGATTTATGAAAAATTTCTCGTCATCAAATTACTTGTAATTGATTTTTGTTTCTGCCAATGTACAATCTATTGTTATTAATCCCGGATGAGGTGCTTGTGTGACCCAGCTATCATGTGCGTGGTCATCGAATAAACTGCAAGATGGCTTCAGATGAATTATGAGTATCATGATTGATGTATTGACAAAATAGATTTTGAAATAGATATTTAACTCGTCATCAAATTACTTGTAATTGATTTTTGTTTCTGCCAATGTACAATCTATTGTTATTAATCCCTGATGAGGTGCTTGTGTGACCCAGCTATCATGTGCGGGGTCATCGGACTGTAAGTTCATTATACGCTCCATTGCAGAAGCCAAGTCATGTAAAAATTATTCTCGAAAGTAGTACAGATAGTAAGAGCTGAGCAAAACACTTGAATAAACTGCAAGATGGCTTCAAAATGGAAAGGAAGTTACGATAGTTCAAGAAAGTATAAGAAGAGCTGGGAGAAGCAATATGTATGGCTGTCAGAATCACCAGATGGTAAAGGGAATGCATACTGTAAACTCTGTCGCAAATCTCTTCAAGCGAAACTTTGGTCAATCTCCAAGCATGAAAGCTCTTCTGAGCACTCAACTAGAATCAAAGAAACTCAGCAAATGAGACCTTTAGCTGTAGAAAGACACCCTCGACCAGGGACAACCAAACGGGATGTTAAAGAAGCAGAAATTCAAATAGCTGTTGGCATAGCCTGTCACTCTGCAATCCTTGCCGTTGATCATTTGGGCGAATTAATGGTTCAGCATGGCAAAGGAAGTGCTTTGGGGGAAATGCAACTCCACCGTACAAAATGTAGTCAGTTGATAAAAAATGTTGTGTCACCATCTTTGAAACGCGAGCTTCAAAAAGATGTAGAAGGGAAAGGTTTTGCAGTGCTCATTGATGAGTCCACAGATGTTGCCGCGAAAAAGAACCTTTGTATATGCATTCGATACTTCAGTGAGCAAGAAATGCAAGTGGCCACAGCGTTCGTTGGAATGATAGTATTTGTCGAAGCGACGGGTGAAAACTTATTTCAGGCAGTGAAAACTGGTCTTCAAACGGTTGGACTAGATCTGCACAACTGCTTTGGCTTTGCAAGTGATGGTGCTTCTACAATGGTGGGGGAATGGAATTCAGTATGGTCCAGGATTCGGGAATCGTCGCCAAATTGTATACGGATGAAATGTATTTGTCATTCACTGGCTTTGTGTGTCCAACATGCATTCGAGAAGATGCCAGCGAATCTTGGCTTTCTTCTGAAGGAAATACCGAAGTGGTTTTCGAAAAGCATTTTACGAAGAGAGGCTTTCCACCAGCTCATAGACGCCATGAATCCAAATAATGAGCACGCAGGTAAACCAATGCCATTCCAGAAAATGTCTGCAACTCGATGGCTTGTCAGAGGGAAGGTGCTTTTCAACATTCTTGTCAATTGGGAGGAACTGAAAGCGTATTTTTTGGTAGAAGAGCCCAATTGTAAATCAGATGTTCGCTACAAAGCAAGAATGTTGCTGAGCATGTTGAATGATGACATCAACCACCTTTATTTTCATTTTCTCTCTCCAATCGTGACAGAATTTGAACGAGTTAATGCGTCATTTCAAGCCACAAATGCAGATCCTGAAGACATGGTCAAACAGCTCTTCCTGCTCCACAGCACTCTACGCTACAGAATATATGGCTCAGGCGATGAAGTTCTGCCAAACTCTCGTGTTGATTTTGGTGTGAAATTTGTCATGGAATCACAAAAGTATATTCATCATCACGGAAATTCTGCTGAAGCGAAAGTGAAGGTAGAGGAAGTGTATAACCGATGCCAGAGTTTTCTCGTTGAAGCGCTTACACAGGTTGAAAATAGACTTCCTGGGAATGAAACTATTTTCAAAGGCCTCAGCTACCTGTCCCCAGCGACAGTTCTCTCTCAGGTTGACCGTGTGCCGTTTTATTCTTTACCCATGCTTCACGTCATGGCTGATATATCATCAGTTGAAGAAGAATATCGCAGGATCCTTCATGTCGACTGGGCAGGCGAAAGCGTTTTTAATGGATTTGTCCCAAGAGATTCAGCTGAATTTTGGTGTGGAATTTTGAAGTACACATCTAGTACAGGAGAGCAACCATTCAAAAGATTGGCTCTTTATGCTTTAACAGCCCTTGCGACCCCAGTGAGCAATGCCATATGCGAGAGAGTGTTTTCACACGTCACTAATGTAAAAACAAAGCTAAGAAGCAGAATGCCTCTTGATATGCTGGATGCTGTAATCAGAATTCGAGTTAATTTCAAGTTTGGGCAAAAATGTTGCCGAGATCTCAGAGTTTCACCAGAAATGCTTGAGTTGTTCAATTCTACAAACATGTACAACCAAGGGGAAACTTCTGCAGATGCAGATGAAGCTAACTTGAATGCATACTTGTGAAAAATTTTGTAACGACAATGCAACCATGAAATGAAAAATATATGATATATAAACATAATTCATTATAAACAATTACAACAATGTTATAAACTTGGTTACTGCTTTGGGAAAATTTTTGTTCTGTTTCTCTTCACGTTGTCGATTTTTTAACTGAATTTAATTAAGTTAATTTTATCAAGTCAAAGCAGTAACCAAGTTTATAACAGGGTAATTGTTTATAATGAATTATGTTTATATATCATATATTTTTCATTTCATGGTTGCATTGTCATTATAAAATTTAATTGCTGACGTGGAGATGAACAATTCTCTGATTAACTGACTTTTGACTTTTTCAACTGCTTTTAATAATTTAATTTTGTTTTAATATCTATTCTACTCTACTAATTTCAGTATGACTAGCGATGTAGTTTTAGTAATTGATTTGTTTTGCTTTTTTCAAATTTAGCAACGTTTGTTGTTGTTGTTGTTTTGTTTCTCGAGTGGAAAATTTAATTAAGTCTGAATTAACTGAATGATGCA